TTAATTACATTTCTATTGATGAGAAAACTGACTCATGAGAGCAGTTGATTTGATTCAGATTTGACATTTTATCAATTACAAATACATCTGTCCAAGTAATCTATGAACTTTTGTAATAACTTGTATTATCTCATGAAATTCAAGTGGGTGCTATGCAAACTAAAACTTTTGAGTTTATCTGCATGAACATAATAGCATTCTTCACGCTTTTCTCAAGTGCTGCAAATTTACATAATGCTGATATAGTTATTATTATTATTATTTGAGACCAGGTATTGATGTGTAGCTTGGGCTGGCCTCCAACTCGTGTTCTTCCTGCTTCAGCCTCTTGACTGCTGGCATTAGGTGTGGCTGCCAACGCACCTTGCCTGACATTAGGATAAACCTTGGTAAACTCTTCCACAACTCAAGCAGCCAATGTTGGCAGAAAGTATGTGGATATTAAACTCATTATCTTCTATTTATTTAGATAATTCTGTAAATTGTGATGAGTTACATTTGTGTATTTATCTTAAACACTATTAATCACTGCCTCCCTGATATATAGATGGTTTCAGTTCATATATATTTGCAATAAATACATTGTGGTGGAACAAATTAAAAAGGGAAACAGGTGTAAGAAATCCCGGGGCTGGAGAGATGGCTCAGAGGTTAAGACTGCTCTTCCATAGGTCCTGAATTCAGTTCCCAGCACCACATGGTGGCTCACAACCATCCGTTATGAGACCTGGTGCCCTCTTCTGGTGTGCAGATATACATGGAAGCAGAATGTTGTGTACATAATAAATAAATAAAATCTTAAAAAAAAAAAGAAATCCAGATCTCTGACAGAACATTGTCTTGATAGAAAATTTCCAATTTCTCTGTGACAGATGTAAAAACAAATCTTAGAATGTTTGTAGCATGACTGATTTATTTCACATTGCAGTGCTGGGATCACATAAAGAAGCACTGCACTGCTAAGCTAGAGCTCTCACCTGAGATCATTTTTTTTTTTTTTTTGTTAAAGTTACAAATATCGTTTGAGACACAGCACACTCAAAGAATCAGTTGGGTAGTACCTCTTCTTACCCTGTCTGTCTACCTACCTACTTAGCTACCTACCTGCTCTGTCATCTTTCCATCCATCCATCTATTATATACCTACCTACCTATCATCTGCCTATCAATCAGCTATATCTGTCTATCTTATCTATCTCTCTATGGCTGTGTAACCCCGGCTGGGCTGACCTGGATGCAACTCACTATGTAGACTAGGCTAGTCTCAAACTCACAGCAATCCAATCTGCCTGCTTCTGCCTCCCAAGTGCTGGGATTAAAGATATACACCACTATGCCCAGCCTCAGTACCTCTTACTGGCTTTTAATAACAACTTTATTTTTTGAAATTATACTATCATCTTCCCCATTTCCCTTTCCTCCCTCCAACCCCTCCCATGTAGCCCCTTTGTTCTCTCTCAAATTCATGCTCTCTTTTTCTTTGTTACATATATACATATGTGCATATGTGTGTGTATTCCTAAATACATAAATGACAACTTGCTTAGTGTGTGTATTGTCTCAGAGCTAATCAGTTGCTTTTGGATAACCAATTAGTGCTCTAAGCCCTCTGAAAATCAACTTAATTTCTGATGTCATTGGTTGTGACTGATTTCTTCAGTTATTTTTTATCAAAAGGCAAGTTTTTATGTTAAAATGCATTTTCTGAAAAATTCTTTTTTGTGTGATTTATTATCTCAAAAAATCTTTTACATAGCATTTTATTTTATTTTTTCCATAGCAAGTTGCAGTTACTGTTCTTTAGTTGTGATCTACTTCCTTTTAAGGTATTTAATTTTTCTCCTAATCTCTACTTGATTTGTTTCAATAGTATATTTTTATCTGAATATTAAAGTTATTCCCTGTTCTGGAAAAAAATTAGGTAGGCCTGGCACACACCTTTAATACAGCTCTTGGGAGGCAGAGGCAGGCAGATCTCTGAGTTCAAGGCCAGTCTGGTCAACAAAACCCCAAACCTCAAAGGTTTTTTTTTTTTTTTTCTCCGAAGCAGGGTTTCTCTGTGTAACCGCACTGGCTGTCCTGGAACTTGCTTTGTAGACCAGGCTGGTCTCAAACTCAGAGAGATCTACCTGCTTCTGCCTCCTGAGTGCTAAGATTAAAGGCATGTGCTACCACCACCCAGTAAGAATCCCTGTTTTGGAACAAAACAAAACAAAACAATTTTCTCCCTATTCTTGTGTGATTGGTATATGCATGCATGCACATATCTATGGTTAAACTTGCCTGTGTGTGACTCTGTTGCTCATTTTTTTTTTTTTTTTTTTTTTGAACCTGGACCTTGCTGTACCTAGGCTGGCAACTAGGAAGCCCTCAGTATTCTCTCATCTCTGTGGCCACCCCTCGTACTCCCCAGTACTGAGATCATAGTCTCATGCTACCATGCCATTTTTATGTGAATGCTGGGCATAAGCTTAGGGTCTCATTCTTAATCTTCATTTTGAAGATGATTATAATTGATATTTCAGTTTGCTTATCAATCATAGTTTATTTAGGTGTTCCTAATAACTATTTGTTGTGCTATTTGCACAACATGCTGATACAAGCATACTACATTTCTCCATTGTTTCCTAGGAATGATATAAGACCCTACATGATTGTTGAAGTTCTTTGTAATCTAGAAACAACGCAGGCATCTTGCCTGTACCCTGTCACAGCTTACATTTTAAGGGTGAAAGCAAAATACAGTCCAACAGACTGAAGCTGTGGCTAACAAGGAATTTTTTGACATTGCATTATTTGTTGAGTGAACACATTAATGAAACTTTCTAAAAGTCAGTTCAGTTGGTGTTTAGCCACATTATCAGTCCTCTACAATTTAGTAATGAAAGCAGAGTGGTTCATTTAGAGAGAGGAAACAACTTGACCTACTTGAGTCAGGCTGGCTAAGAACAGAGCAAGGTTATAAATAATTATATATATTTCAATGAATAAAAAATTACTTTAACCAATATAATTTTATATCCTAGACTTAGTCCATGTCATACCAAAAGCTATACTTTTAAGAAGCAAACCAGTTACTTAATTTGAAACCCTTTGTTTCTTTAAACAAAGCAGCCACCTTCAGGAAGCAGTTAAAGGGTTACTTCTCATTTACATGTGGTGGCATCTTGTGATCTGAAGTCGCTCTTAGAATCTCGTAGTGAATATTGGCAGTTGGAGTGGTTTTTGTTTTGAACACTTGGGTACTGTTTTTTTTTGTTGTTGTTGTTGTTGTTTTTTGTTTTTTGTTTTTTCGAGACAGGGTTTCTCTGTGGCTTTGGAGGCTGTCCTGGAACTAGCTCTTGTAGACCAGGCTGGTCTCGAACTCACGGAGATCCACCTGCCTCTGCCTCCCAAGTGCTGGGATGAAAGGCGTGCACCACCAACGGCCGGCAACTTGGGTACTGTTTTATCTAAATGATATCTACTAATTTATGGAAACAATATAAAAATGTAATTCACTCTTCAGGGAATGCTTAATGTTCACTGAGGTACCACGTGCCTGAAGCCCAGGTTTTCAAGATAAGGTTGCCTTACCCCCTAATAATACTATGTTGAGGGGGGGATAATTGAACCTTCTCTCTTGTAGGCATCTTGATTCTTGGAAGAATGATAATGCCTAGGGTGATAGTGCAGGAATGCTAGGAGTTGACCTGGAGAACTTGAAGACTGTCTTAGAGAAATCCTGACTGACAAGTGTGGGTGGTCAGTTTGTGAGGGTGTGTGTTGTTTAGTAATCTTATAAGAGATATTCTAAAGTCTTTAAATACGTTCACTTAAATTTTCACTGCTTTGAGTAAATGTCATGACATACACTTGTGTGTAATAATTGTTTTCTTAAATTATTTTCCCTTGTCACTTCCTTTTTTTTTTTTTTCCTCTCTCTCTGAGACAGAGTTTCTCTGTATGGCTTTGGAGCCTATCCTGGCACTCGTTCTGGCCTCGAACTCACAGAGATCCGCCTGCCTCTGCCTCCCGAGTGCTGGGATTAAAGGCGTGTGCCACCAATGCCCAGCCTCCATTTTTTTTTTTAATCAACTACTTTGATATATGTGGGACACATTTTTGGATTCTGTTACAGATGACCTATTTTTTACTAATTGTTGTGCTTTTAAAATTTTGTCTGCCCGGAATGCTATTTTCATTATTTTTTGGTACTTAATAAATAAGTGGTTTTATACAAAAGCTGCATATTCAAAACATAATAATAATAATAATAATAATAATAATAATAATAATAATAATACCACCTTAGTCCTAGTCTGTAAGTTTTTGTTAAAACTGACCTCTTTCAGGAAAAAACTAAATGCTAATGTACAAGTCCAAGTTTATTTTGTAAGTTTATTTTGTATAATTCCTTATACTATTTACTTATTGATTTGTTACCACGTAAACGATCAGTTTTTAAAAATACTGTAAACATTTCTTTATCAGATACTGAAAGATGCAACCTAGGACTGGAAATCTTTCCAACTCATCAGAATTCTCTTTCTATTAATTTAATGTTTAATGTGAATTTTAAAATTTTCTCTGCAGATATCCCTACAGGTTAATTACTTTTTTCTACTTTTCACTTTAAATTCTCCTTCTCCAAACTGCCCATTAATTTGTGTTGAGAAGTATCACTGTAAGGTAGGAGTTTTAATGCTACCAGGAAAAAATGGGCACTTTTTGTTTCCCTTTCTGTATAGCTTCACTAACAAAAATATAGCCCATGAAGCAGCTTATTTCAAAAGAAAGCACTGAAGAGCTTTTTGAGGAAGAACGTGAAAAGATGCTAGTGTTCATTGCCTACGTGGCTGTAAGAAAAGGCTCTTAAAAAACATTTCCATTGTGGAGTCCAAATCCTCTTTTAAGCTTAGCTCTGCACAGTGGCTTGCAGAGCCTGTGACTACTGGCAGTGCCCACTGGTGTGCTTTCCTCAAGCTCTTTACACACATTGATTAGTATTTTCTTTGCAGTTATCGTTGTGATGATTTCGTGGTCAATGACACCAAGCTGGGCCTGGTGCAGAAAGTGAGAGAACACTTACAGAACTTGGAAAAGTGAGTAGTGGGTCCTGAAAGGGGAGAAGTCACTCAGTCACTGAGTAGGATTTTGAGAACTTTGAATCCAACATTATATAAATCCAGTTGAAATGTTGATAAACAAAGCCTTGGGTTTAGGTATCTGAAACTCAGTGCATATTTCATTCAGTACTTTCCGTAAACCATATCCAAAGTCCAAGAGCCTGTTTTTAAATTACTACCCACTAAGTTAAAAACTCTTCAGTTCACTCATAAGGAAGAATTTAGTGGTTTCAAGGAAGCATCATAAAAGGACATTAAAATAATTGTAGAAGTATTTGGCATTAAAAAGTTGATACTGAATGTATTGAAGATCTGCTATGAAAGACAGATTGCTGTATTACTTTATGAGAAGTTAGGTTCAAGTATCTGAGTGTGCACTCTGCAAATAAACCACAGCTAGTACCTCAGTTTTTTCTTCTTTTTCTTGATAGAAAAGTACATAGAACTTGAATTACAAAGAGTTTTGTGACCCTAAAGAAACTGAAGAATTTGTCTTGCGTAGCCAAATTGCTTATTCAGATAAAATTCCCTGGACACAGAACTGAAATGATAAATAGAAACCCACATAGCATTGCCTTTGAAGCTGCATGTCAAGTGAAATCTGTGTAGCTCATTACAGATCACCCACATTGTCAGGTCCATCTGATTTATCTTGGCAATTGGTATATTGAAAGTATTGTAAAAACATGCCATCTAGAATGTAAACTAGTAGAATATTTCAAAATAATCGAGAGGAAAAATCTTCTGTTCCAAAACTATATGGTGTGTTAATTAACTGAAGTTTTTTTATATGTATTTCTCACTGCCTGAATAGATTATAAGGCTGAAAGGGAAGAATCAGAATAGTTAACATTTGGGTCTAGGTACTGTGTCATCTTTAGAGACTACTAACTTTTTCAAAGTGCATTTAGTTCTTTCATTGGAGGTGAGCAGCATCTATATATGCCTAGAGACAGGTCCTGAATATCCTCCAAGTCACTGAGAAACTAATTTTCAATTTTAAGTAAGTTTAAATAGCTACATACAGTGAGTCGTGATCATTCTATTAGTGTAGGTCTAGAGCAATGGCTCTCAACCTTCCTACTGCTGTGCCTTTCAATGATAGTTCCTCATGTTGTGGTGACTCCCAACCGTAAAATTATTTTCATTGCTGCTTCATAACTGTAATTTTGCTACTGTTATGAATAGTAATGTAAACATCTGATCTATGACCCCTGTGAAAGGGTTGTTTAACCCCTAAAGGGATTGCAACCCACACAGGTTGAGAACCACTGATCTAGAACATTCTATTTTGAGAATAATAGGATAAAATTTAACTTGTATTTTAAAAAGCCAAATGCTGTATTTAGATAGTTTAAACCCAAAAGGTGTTAGTCATGTTTACTAAAGAGCATGGATATTTATTTGTGTGACTTCATTTCCAGAACTGGTAAAAGAATAGTTGAATGCTGGAATTAGTCCCTGCACTTGTCACCAAAGGTCACAAGTGGCTAGAAGCAATTGATATTAGACCTGTGTTCCAAAGACATTGTAGTTCATGTGGAAGTTATAGAAAGAAAGTAAGTATATGTTTGGTAATGTCAAAGTGTAAAAGAGTTGGCAGACTTACAGCCTGTACTATTGAGTAATCATTTTTATTTTCTTCAGATGAGTTCTCTTAGTAACCTTAAGGAGATATTTATAGGATGGGAGTAACCCTGATGAATTAAGCAAAGACTTTTCTGATGTAGTAAGGATTTATTTTGAGATGTCCTTTGCAGTATAACTAAATCAGATAGTGAGTTTATACACACACACCTATGTCCTTGTGCTAGCTCATTCCTCATAAACTGAAGTAGACTAAATGAAAGTGGTCCACTCCAGATTAAGGAAGAAACAGCATATTATTTGAGACTAGCTGTTAAGTTTCCTATCAATCATATAAGACCAGGGTTTTCCTTTTGTCATGAGGAACAGATCTGGGTTTTGAAGCTTCACAAGTGGAGGTGGGGCAGGTATATCTTACAGACTACAACTCCTGACCAGCTTTTGTTGGGAGTAGCATAGTCTACTCTCCCGTGCTGTGGATGGGTAGTGTGGATTTCCAGGAAAGTGAAAAGTCTCAGCTCACTTCAGATATTAGTGGGCCTGGCTGGTCACTGCCTCATGAAGCAGCCAGGCAGGACTCTGCCTTAGATGCTGAGGGCAGCTTGGATTTAGCCTGCGGTGTAGCATGTATTCATTAATGTCTTTTTAACTGTCTGTTTATATCTTAATAGCTCAGCTTTTACAGCTGACAGGCATAGAAAAAGAAAATTATTGGAAAACTCATCACTAAACAGCAAGTTATTAAAAGTAAATGTAAGTAATTAAAATTTATTTCTATGCAAGAGTTAAGATATAATCACTGTTACAGCTCTAACAAGGGCTCTTACCGGTTATAAACTTTTGTTAATGTGTCTTGATTTGAAGTGTTTTGCAAAAATGTTTGCCACTTAGGAACTCCTCCCCCCCTTTGGAGGTGGTCTATGTAGCCATGGCTATCCTAGAAAACTCTATGTAGACAAGGCTGGCCTCAAACTCAGAGCTCTGCCTGCCTCCTCCTCCCCAATGTTGGGATTAAAGGCATATACCACCCTGCAAGCAGTTCACTGTTTTTTTTTGGGGGGGGTTGTTTGTTTGTTTTATTATTGTTGTTTGCGACAGGGTCCACTATTTAGTCCTAGCCAGTCTGGAACTCTCTATGTAGATCAGGCTGTCTTTGAACTAAAAATTCAGCTTGCTTCTGCCTCCAAGTACTGGGATTAAAGGTGTGCCCACTACAGCCTGCACACCCTGTCCCAGCAGTTCACTCAGGTAACCTTCTGTGGTGCTCTCTGTTTTTGTTTTCATTTTTTTTTTTTTTTTGGTTTTTCGAGAGAGGGTGTCTCTGTGTAGCTTTGGAGCCTATCCTGGCACTTGCTCTGGAGCCCAGGTTGGCCTCGACCTCCCAGAGTTTCCCCTGCCTCTGCCTCCCGAGGGCTGGGATTAAAGGCGTGCCGCACCAACTCCCAGCCTGTGGTGCTCTCTGTTTTTGGTTTCATTTTTTTTTTTTTGGTTTTTCGAGAGAGGGTGTCTCTGTGTAGCTTTGGAGCCTATCCTGGCACTTGCTCTGGAGCCCAGGTTGGCCTCGACCTCCCAGAGTTTCCCCTGCCTCTGCCTCCCGAGGGCTGGGATTAAAGGCGTGCCGCACCAACTCCCAGCCTGTGGTGCTCTCTGTTTTTGGTTTCATTTTTTTTTTTTTGGTTTTTCGAGAGAGGGTGTCTCTGTGTAGCTTTGGAGCCTATCCTGGCACTTGCTCTGGAGCCCAGGTTGGCCTCGACCTCCCAGAGTTTCCCCTGCCTCTGCCTCCCGAGGGCTGGGATTAAAGGCGTGCCGCACCAACTCCCAGCCTGTGGTGCTCTCTGTTTTTGGTTTCATTTTTTTTTTTTTGGTTTTTCGAGAGAGGGTGTCTCTGTGTAGCTTTGGAGCCTATCCTGGCACTTGCTCTGGAGCCCAGGTTGGCCTCGACCTCCCAGAGTTTCCCCTGCCTCTGCCTCCCGAGGGCTGGGATTAAAGGCGTGCCGCACCAACTCCCAGCCTGTGGTGCTCTCTGTTTTTGGTTTCATTTTTTTTTTTTTGGTTTTTCGAGAGAGGGTGTCTCTGTGTAGCTTTGGAGCCTATCCTGGCACTTGCTCTGGAGCCCAGGTTGGCCTCGACCTCCCAGAGTTTCCCCTGCCTCTGCCTCCCGAGGGCTGGGATTAAAGGCGTGCCGCACCAACTCCCAGCCTGTGGTGCTCTCTGTTTTTGGTTTCATTTTTTTTTTTTTGGTTTTTCGAGAGAGGGTGTCTCTGTGTAGCTTTGGAGCCTATCCTGGCACTTGCTCTGGAGCCCAGGTTGGCCTCGACCTCCCAGAGTTTCCCCTGCCTCTGCCTCCCGAGGGCTGGGATTAAAGGCGTGCCGCACCAACTCCCAGCCTGTGGTGCTCTCTGAGATACTGTTTCCTTCTGGTAAAGTTCCTGTCTTAGAGTTCCTGTTGCCATGATGAAACATGATCAAAGCAACTCCGAGAAGAGTTCGTTTCGTTTACACTTGTGCATCACAGTTGATCATCAAAGGAAGTCAGAACAGGAACTCAAACAGGGCAGAAACCTGGAAGCAGGAGCTCAAACAGAGGCCATGGAAGGATGCTGCTTACTAGCTTGCTCTCCCTGGCTTGTTCAGCTTGCTGTCTTATAGAATGCAGGACCACCTGCCCTGGGCCCTCCCCATCAATCACCAATTTAGAAAATTCTCTATAGATTTGCCTATGGCCTGGTATTATGAAGGCATTTTCTTGAGGTTCCCTCCTCTCTGATGACTCCAGCTTGTGTCAAGTAGTCATAAAACTACCAAGTACATTTCCCTAGATTCTTTTGGTTTGAACTTTTGGTAGGGTTTTTTTGTTTGTTTTGTTTTTTTTTGCCTCAGGGCTTCATTAATGTAATTTCACTATGGAAGTATTCATCCTCATTTTGGAAGCCACTCATGAGTTAACAGCTTTAAAGTTACTACGTATATTTAAATGACCCAACAGCATTTTTGCCTTGCAATTAATCCTTTGCTGTCACTGGATCTATGCCTTAAGTTTTAAAGAAATTGTTATAATTTAAAAAAGCAAGCCTGAGCCAGGTGTTGGGGGCGCAAGCCTTCAGTCCCAGCACTCGGGAGGCAGAGGCAGGAGGATCTCAGTGAGTTCAAGGCCAGCCTGGTCTACAAATCGAGTTCAAGGACAGCCAGGACTATTACTGTTACTCTGAGAAACTGTCTTGATAAACTGAAGAGGGGGGTGTATGAGAAAAAGATGCCATACAACAGAGCTTGGTGGAAGGGTTTTATTAGGGGAAAGAAAGTGAATGGGAAAAGGGGGAGGGGAGACAGATAAGCAGAGATGGGAGGTGGGCAGGGCTCTTTTAGAGGGGAACATAGTGAATATGCGCAAGTGACTTTCTTAGTGGCTGCAGCTGAGGGCATATCCTGTTAGGACCCCAAGGACAGGCCTGAATACTCTGAGAAATAGCTAAGGTGCTGTCTCAGCTGTTTGAATTACAGGCAGAGATGTTTGGGTTGGACTGGAGGATTTACCTCCTGATGTAGTATTCAGATATCTTCAGAAAACCAAGCCTCCATCTTTAAGAAGTTCAGGTAGTGTTTTATGGTTCTTGTCCATTGCTAAGAAAACATCTGTCACTTGAGCATGCTTTTCAGTTAAAAGTTGGTGTTTACATGTTTGTGATTTTCAATTCATATATTTAGTACAATCTTGTAAACGTATTTACTTAAAATGTATTTCCCTGTTTGCTTGCATCTGTGGCACTTGTTGATGCTTATTTTCTCAGAAACAGATGCTAAAATATCCATGCCCTCATATAGCCTAGAGAGTTTGAAATATTCATTGGGCAGAAAAGGGAAAGGAGTGCTTCAAGATAGGCATGGTGCTAGAGTTTCAGAGACCTTGGCTTAGTGTTGGAGTTTGGAGCAGTGAGCCATCCTTGGCAATGCTGATGGCCTCTTCCATGTTACAGGGAAGTACGACTGCCATTTGTGCCACAGGCCTTCGGAATTTGGGCAACACTTGTTTCATGAATGCTATCCTTCAGTCACTCAGGTAACAAATGCTATATATAGTCAAAGGTTTACATATTTGATATTATAGACCAAGAGCAAGGCTCAGTGTTCAAAGACTATTTTCTGCCTCTAACTTTAGTCCCTGTGCTTTTTCCTCATCAATAAAATTGAAGGAACGTTTCCTACTTCATATGGTAGGAGGGAAGATTAAATATTATAATCTGTTTAAATTCCTTCAAGCTTTTTTGTTGGAAAATCATGGTTAGCTTTTATTTCCCTTTGCTTCTTGAATAGCTGCAGGAGGGATCAGGACACCTCTGTTTGAAAGGTGGGATAGTAACTATTTTAGGCCATATGCATGTTTCTCTCCCATTTTATCCCCCTCAAATATTTCTTAGCCTTTTAAAAAATAGCTTTTAAGTATGTAAAACTCAAGGCAGGTGTTAATGGTAGATGTATACCATCTTAGCTACTCAGGAAGCTAAGGTAGGGAAATTGCCAATTCAAACCTGGACAACATAGCCAAACCCCAGCTAGAGAAGGAAAACACAAGCTAAAAAGAAACAAACAAACTTTGCCGAAAACATAAGAGTTCCCTGTCTGAGGGCTATATCTATCTGCCTGTAGGCTTTAGTCTGTAGACCCTCTAGGGAACTTGCAGGGAACCTGGTTCAGAGCTTATTTCAGCCACTAGTTAAGTCTCCATGATGGTCATGAGAAGATCACAGAGTAAGAGAGTGACACAAAGAAAGTGGCCAATAGGGCTGACCTCACTAGAAGAAACTGTTGTGAAAGTTTTATGCTTTTAGACTTTAATGAGGTATCAAAGGCTGGAGTCATTTATCTTCCTAGTCACACTCCAGACAGTCAAGAGTAGAGCCACACTGAATCTGCCTTTGAGGTTTCGTCATCCCATTCACCTTCTCTTCCTCAAAGAAATCTGTTACTTCTAATTTGTCCTTGTGATTCTATATAGCACATCTAAATAATGTGATTGGTTTCATGGTTTGTTTTATTTGAGGGAATTATTTTATTGAATACCTGGAAACAAGCACCCTAAAAGAGAGAAGTGGAAGATGGGTATAGCTCAGTTGATAGGGAGCACCCCAAGCACATATCAGGCTATGGTGGAATCCCTAGTACCCATGCTTGTGTGCTGGTGCATGCGTGTAAGTAACCTTAGCACTTGGGAAGTAGGGCAGGGTGATTAGAAATCTGAGGTCATTCTTGGAAGTTCTAGGCAAGAGCAGGGAAGATACGGAAGGAAGGAGGCATGGCCAGAATAACCTGTGATGGAGGGGAAATGGCATTTTTAAAGAGAGGTTTACTTTTAAGTCATTTGTTCATCCCCACAAAGTTGTATACCTGCTATTTCTTAGAGTGAGGGAGTAGCAATGAAACAGAACTGCACTGAGTACTATATAATGAGGCAACTGAAAGATTACCTTTTGAAAATTCTTGTGTAGATTTGTATAACTTTGTATAACTTTTTTACTGTCTTTTAAATTCTTTAAAAAAATAATTTTCTTCACTTCCTTTTAAAATAGTAACATTGAGCAGTTTTGCTGTTATTTCAAAGAACTGCCTGCTGTGGAGTTAAGGAATGGAAAGACAGCAGGACGGCGAACATACCACACCAGGAGCCAAGGGGACAGCAATGTGTGAGTTACCAGAAATGTCCTTTCAGGCATTGAGCTGCAAACAAATGAATTTCTCTGGTGATTTTTAGATTATTTGAGCTAATAAGTAGATTTTATAAAGCTCTTCTAATATTGTCTAGCTCATAATCTTAATTGTTCTTTTTTTCAATTTCTGCTTATTATAATGGGAAGGATAGCTAGCACTGCACTTAAGTTTTTGCAGACATCTGTGTATGCACAGACTTCCAGGTATGGACATCAATAAGTATGGCTAGTTCATCTTAATCTATTACTCTGTATTGATAGTGTTAGGTAACCCTGTTTGGGATAACAAAATTAATACCCAATTGGAGTGAACTTGGTGGGGTTAAAAACAGAAGTGGTTATCAAGGACTATTTTACATTCAGACTCACTCATTGCAGCTTTGCCTATCTTTTGGTTCAGAATATCTGCTATGTTAGACTAATAGACTAATGCATCTTTTCCATACCCTTGCTGAAGCGGAGATATGGCATACCTGTATGCATGTAATGTTTTTCCTGCCTGCCTCCTGGTTCACTCCCACACATGCCCATAGTTGAAAGGCCATTTTATGAGGCACTACTGTGCCTCAGTGTGTGGGGAGAGAGACAGCGAGCGGGGGGAGGGGGCACATGGAGGAGAAATAGAATGTATTAGAATATTGGGTAATGCAGATAGAGCTCCACTATGGAGAAGGAAAGGGCCATGTGGTGTGTGAAGGGTGTTTCCTTTGGTGGCAGCATATAGGATGAATAGGAAAGGGCCTGCATTTAAGGGGCTTCCATTGTGTCAAAGGAAACAGCAGGGAAATAAAGGGGAAAATATATGTGTGCAAAAGTTAAGAAAAGCCTTAACAGTACTTGGTTTATTGGTGTTATTTTGAATTTGGTAATTGCCCCTGGCTGATTAAGCCAAAAAAAGAATTTACTGAAGAACTGTTGGTGAGTCTGCATTGCTGGATGTGTTGAAAATCAGGTCCAGAGTGAGCACCACAGCCACAGTCATGCACAGAACTGCCCTCTAAGGACACTGCCACGTCTGCTGGAGACAGTGCACTCGTTGCCCCTGCCCCTGCCCCTGGATTTGGAGTAGTGCTTGTTACCTCTGCCACCGCCAAAGAGGATTTGGTGCTGTTCCTGCTTTGTGTGTGTGTGTGTGTGTGTCACCTACTCCTGCTTCACATGTGCAGAACCCAGGCCATGTACTTTGCTCTAGCTGCAAGGAAGGCTAAGAGGGCACCTTACAGCTGTTCCGGTGTCTGTTGGGAGGTAGGCTAGTGTACATGGTTTGCTGTCCCAGATAACCTTCCATCGAGTATCCAAGAGTGGTTGGTTATATTGCTAGATCTAGTAACTGAATTCAGAGTGTTATTAGTGTATCACGTTAGCACAGAGCAATCAAAATTATCTGCAACTTAAATATCCATGGTTTTATTTTCTCACATGAATTGAAGAGATTATTTGTAGAGAACTATTTTGCAAAGTCATTAGGCTCCTTCTTGCTCAGGGGAGTGGCTTTTGTCCACATAGTCCCAGATAATGGGGAGCTCTCATTACTAATGTGTGCTAGCTTTGGGAAATAGAAGGGGTTGCTAAGGACTACTTTTTGTTCCTGAGGAAATTCCCCCAGAAGTGGCACACTCCCAGGTTCTTACACTAGGAGTTCATATATTGATAAAAAATGGGGGTCTGTTCCTGTGAAAGAAGTGCAGGATAGTTGTTGGGGGAAAGAGCCAGGAGAGCACAGAGCAGTGGAGAAGCTTTGCACATAGTGACTGAAGTGACCAAGAGGATGCCCAGGAAGTTCCTGTCAGAAAATGGGAAGAACCTAAATAAAAGCAGTCATGAAGGCTGGACATGGTGGGCACATCTTTAATCCCAGTAGAAGCAGAGGAGTTTGAGTCTGAGACCAGCCTTGACTACATAGCAAGTCCAAGATACCCTGGAGTACATAGTGAGATCTGACACACGCACCAAAACCTGTCAAGCCAAAGTTTCTTCTAGACTTGGGTTTAAGGGTCAGTGTTGGAGGTAAGCCCTAGGCCTCGTGACCATGTACACTGTCTGAGGCAGAGATGAATAGGTACAATCCGGAAGAGCCCTTCGAGGGAGGATGGAAACATGCAGTAGATGGGGAGGGACATTCTGTGTCTTGTTTACAGTTTTTATTAATTTATTTTTTACATGCCAGTCCCAGTTCCCCCTCCCTCCCTCTCCCCCCATCTGCCCCACAGAGTGGGTAAGGCCTCCCCTAGGAAGTCTATTAAGTCTGTCCCATCACCTTGTTGAGGCAGGACCAAGGTACTTCTCCACTCCCCATACCTCTGTGTCTAGGATGGGCAATGTGTCTCTCCATATAGAATGGACTCCACTAGGTCAGTCTGTGCATTAGTTAGATCTTGGACCCATTGCCAGTGGCCTCATATATTGTCTCAGTCACACCATTGTCACCTATATTAAGGGAGTCTAGTTCAGTCTTATTATTTATATTTTTTAAGTGAACATGTTTAAGTAATTTCCCTTTAAATTATCCATTGCTTTACTATATGTTTCATTTAAATTCAGTGAACAAAATGGTAGTACCTTGACATGCTCAAAGATAACTACATAGTTAAAATTAGTTTTGTCAACAATACTGCTATTCATATAGGTTTTTAAATGCTTTTACATAGCTATCAGGCTGAGTTCAGAAGACTAAGCCCTTGAAAAATGTTCATTTTTATTCTATTTTAGACAGTTGAGCCATATGTGTTGAAATAATGGCCTTTGGTGGATACTGAAGCTACCATCCTCCCTCTTTTCCAGGTCTCTGGTAGAAGAGTTTAGGAAGACACTGTGTGCTTTATGGCAAGGCAGCCAAACTGCATTTAGTCCTGAGTCCTTGTTCTACGTTGTCTGGAAGATCATGCCTAACTTCAGGTAAGTACTGAAGGGTGCTGAAGATATCCGGGTTCTTTCTGCTGTTTCTCAGCATCTTACAAAACTGCTGCTACTACAGGTGCTCTAAGCAGTGTTTTTTGTTAGATGAGCAGACGGCTTTGTTTAAAGTGCCCTATAAGGAGCCCATGTGTGCTAGGAAAATGTAAGGGATAACAAACGTTTTTTGATTCTTTCAAATTTTTTTTAAGTTTTATTTTATTTTCATTGTTTTGCCTGCATGTATGTCTGTGTGAGGGTGTCAGAAACCCTGGGACTGCAGTGACAGACAGTTGTGAGCTGCTGTGTGGGTTCTGGGAATTGAACCTGGGTTCTTTGGAAGAGTGGTCAGTGCTTTTAACCACTGAGCAATCTCTCCAACCCCGATTCTTTGAAATGTTACAGGGAAATAATTGTCATCATGTACTATCTTATTATTCCAACTAAAAGAATGAAATGAAGGCTGGGGTTCAGTTTTGGTAGAGCACTAGGCTGATACGTTTGAGGCCACAGGTTCAATCTGTAATACCACAAAGAAATGAAATGAAACCAGTAGAAACCCAGTGCCAGGCACTGTGCTGTCCAGGTTCTAAAGCTCTAGTAGAGATAGTAGGGCCACTCCTACTTAGCCACCTGTCCTTTCTCTTTGGTAGCTTGTCCTGCCACCTCTCTTGGCTAGACATCCCTGTGAGAATTTGGGTCATTACAGATGTATGGTATGCCAGTGTTTGCCACATTTGGCTGACTTTATTTATTTTTTTATTGAAGCAAGTTATAGCTCTTAGAAGTCATGATTTGGCACCTTGGATATATCCTGTGTTTAAAAACTACAAATTGTAGTGAAACTTAATGATATATCTTGTATGTATAGAGAAATGTTTAAAAGGAAAAAAATTATCAAAGCCTTGTAATTTACTGCTTACCAGATGAGTTGAGCCTCTGAGTGTCTTGATTTAATGACTGGTAACCCTGGTCTTTTAAAGTCTCCTCCCAGAAGAGATTTCTAAGAAATTTAGTCTCCTGACTCTAAGCAGGAAAAGCAGAGATGATGGCTCAGATGCCACTCCTCAGGCTTGAGCTGTACATAGTGTTGTATAGTTCCTATGTATTGAATGTGTACTATGTGGCAAGCCCTAGGTGCTTTATCCTTATTAAAAACCAAGCAGCAAAGCATTTTGGCGAAGGCAGGATGTGTTACCCTTAAGTTTAGAGAAGTCAAAACAGAAGCAGCTTGTTCATTCTTACACATCTTCTTGGTGGTCTGACCAGAATTAGAACCCAAGTGTTCAGGAGATGGTTCATAGCAGTTGTGGCTTGAGTGAAGTGTGGTGTGGTTTGACACACCCCATAATTTGATGCAGTGCAATCTGCTTTTCTCCAAACATCACCTCATCACTGCCCTTTCTGATTCCTATAGTCCAATTGTCAGCATGGTTTAGTTTAACTGCTGAATTTACTGATTTAATATATCTACTGATAAATGAAAGAACTTCAGAAGAGATAGCCAGGTTGACAAATTTACTCAGTCTCTGGAATGACTTTTTTGTGGGGGGAGGTTGAGACAGGGTTTCTCTGTGTAGCTTTGGAGCCTATCCTGGCACTTGCTCTGTAGACCAGGCTGGCCTCGAACTCAGAGATCCACCTGCCTTTGCCTCCCGAGTGCTGGGATTAAAGCACCACCAACGCCCAACCTCTGGGGTGATTTCTGGTACCCATGAATTCTGAAGTCTCCTTAGTTACTGCTGAGCATCAGCTGGGCTTTCTTCTGGTTCTGCAGTAATTGAGATTGTTCCCAATTTTTGTACTCAAAGATGCAGGCCTTGAGATTATTACCACACAGCACTGAGTGAGTTGTGAGCCCAGAGGTGGGGCTGTCATGTGAGTTCTGTGCCTCCGAGCACCATGGGTAGGGCTTTCTTCCCAGGGCTCTTACACATCGAGTCTTGAATTATGCTCCTATTGTGTTTATTTATAACCCCAGACCATTTTCCTGTTTGTAAAGCCTGTTTTCCTTCATTAATACAGGACAAGGTTTAGGGAAACTGACTCCTGGAATGAAATTTGAGGGTTCTGAAACACAAACATGCATGTAGAAGTAGTAGCAAAGTGAGCATGGGAAAAGCCATGAATGCAGCCAGCAGCCTTTGTGTACACATCAAGGCTACTTTCCCCACAGGAACCAAAAGCCAGTTACTTAGCAGGGAAAGTTTATCACATTCCACTGTGCGTGTATGACTTCCTAGTATGCTCAGCCTTGACCATCTTTTTTTTTTTTTTTTTTTTAAAGAAAAAACACAATTAGGTTTATTTTAGCAGGCAAAACACACATGGTTAAAAATGTAAAAGATTAAGATTAGAATCGGCACTGTTTTCTTTCACTCCAGTCCCTCACTATCCTTCTGTTTTCTGGAAGCAACCAGTTGCCTGATCTCCGGGTGTGCTTTCAGTGATAATCTTTGTACATGTTCAAGTGTGCTTAACTTTAAAAGTATTATTTGAGTAGCCCCTTTCCTGTAGCTTTGTTGATTTGTTTCTAGGTATGTGCATGTGTGTTGCTGAGATGAACAGCCTATGTACATATGCGTAGTTATCAGAATGTGGATTTTCTGGGTCAGTGTTTGCGCTCTTGTAATTTAGATAGTCTTTTATGGTAGCCTCTGTTACTCCTGCTTCCATCAACATGAGTTTGCCCTGTGGTTCCAGACTCTTTCTTTAGGATCCAGTTTATTCATTCCATGGAAGCCTCTTTGGAAATTAAATCAGGCTATGTGGTATTTATTTGCATTTCATATTAATTGCCATTTCTGCTTCCATATATAACCTGATTGCCTCAGCTTCCTAAAACATCACTTTTTAAAATTCAATTCTTGTATATCTCATGTAAGAAATGGGAGAATGATTTCACCTTACATGTAATGGTTCTTGGCTTTCTAGACAATATAAACGATCTTTTGGGATATCTGTGAAGGAGGACTTTAAAATACTGCATGTTCTTTATTTTAGCAGTGTTAGTTCTTCTAGCAGGAAGTGTGCTGTCAAATGCTTCTGCATTTGTTGGTAAACACATTCATTTCTGTCATTTTCATGTTTTATATGACAGTACCAAACACTAGGCTCAATATATTTTAGTTTTGCAAGTGTTTTGGTTAAAGGGGTAACTTATAATTCTTTTATGAATGTTGAAATATTTTAAATATAAATAGAACTTAAAATTCTACCAGGTATGCAAACAGCATAATAAGTCATTCAGTCAAGAGCTAGTAATGGGACAGGTTGATGACACATGTCTTCAGTCCTCTCTCTCAGAGGAAGACTGCATATTTGAGGTGGGCTACATACACAGTAAGACTTTGTTCCATACTGTATCATGTATCATAATTGTGCATGACTTTATTTATGAGCTAAATAAATGAATGGAAAAAAAAAAAGACTTTGTTCCATCCTCCATACACAAAGAAAAAGAAAACTCTAAAATGTTTTAGATACTTTCGAGGCTGTTTATCCTAGACTGATAGACTTTTCAGAGGCATGCCTTATTCTTGTTTTCTTTTTCTGGACAGAGTTTTTCTGTGTAGCTCTGGTTGTCCTGGAACTCAGTCTAGACCAGGCTGGCCTCAAACTCAGAGATCCACCTGCCTCTGCCTCCTGAGTGCTGGGATTAAAGGTGTGCGCCACCACATCTGGCTGTTTTACTCCTGTTTTCATGTGTGGTATTAGGGATTGGACCTATGGCCTTGCACATAGTAGGCAAGTATTTTACTACTGAGCAATCCTCAGTCCTTTTTAGTTTCAGACAGGGTCTCAATAGGTTCCCCAGGCTGCCCTGAACTTTATGATTCTCCTTCCTCAGTCTCCTGAGAAGCTGGGGAGAGTACAGGCCCCATTTGTATAAAATTATTTTGTTTTTGTTTTTGTTTTTTTCCTTTGAAATGAGTCATACTCAGTTGTCTGGACTTGGTGGTCTTCCTGCCTCAGGATTATAGCCATCAACCACCACACCCAACCTGGCTGCTTTTATGATAGCTCTGACTTCTCATTGGTCCTAGCCATCTTGTAGATTATTCTTTGTTTAGGCAGTACCAATACATAGTAACATACATTATTCAGAGTGTTTGCTTTCACACTTGACCAGGTGCCAGATGACCATTTGTCTGGTTATTGTTATCAGAACATCGATTTGTCTTCATGTGCCCTTTGTCCCCTGTAGTGTGTGTGCTCCATCAGTGTGTGTCTTTCTTGGTCTTCCATTTAGAAAGAATGTTTCCAGGTCCTGTAGGCTAGGCATCCTGCATTTGCAGTGTGATTTCCACATCATCATTTTCACAGATTTTCTGTTGAGGGTAATCTTAGGTTTAACAACTGATTGTAAGGTATGGAAAAAGGTATGGAAACCTTTTTTTTTTTTTATGGAGGGTTTCTGCTTTTTTTTTTTTTTTCATCAAGTGCTTAAGATTTTATTTATTTTTTATGTATACAACATTCTGCCTCCATGTATGCTTGCATGCCAGAAGAGGGCACCAGATTTCATTAGGGATGGTTGTGATCCGCCATGTGGTTGCTGGGATTTGAACTCAGGACCTCTGGAAGAGCAGCCAGTGTTCTTAACTTCTGAGCCATCTCCAGCCCAGTATGGAAACCTCTTAATTCTGGCCTGTCATGGAGACTGCATTTGAGTCTTCACAACCTGTTTCTTCATTAGTTCACAAACAATTGATACCTCTGAAACATACAACATGCATGTCATTTATCCCTATTATAAAGCAAGAGAAATTTAAGGTAACTAAAGAGGATTGTTAAGCCTAGATTATATAACCAGGAAACAACTGAAAAAATAAGATACTAAATTCACTAACTTCTCTGAAAGTCTTTAAAATAAAGTTGATTATAGACTGCTCTGAGAGATGGCTTATTGGTTAAGAATACTTGTTCTTGCAGAGGATTTGGCTTTGATTCCCAGCACCTACATGATGGAGCAAATGGCTGGTAATTCAGTTCCAGGGGATCCATTAACTGCTTTTGGCTTCCATGGCCACCAGGCATTCATTTGGTGCATAGACATGCACGTGACAATTGATATACACAAAATAAAATTAATCTTCTTATTTATTTTTACTTCTCTGAGACGGGGTCTCTCTGGATATCCCTGGCTGTCCTAGAACTAGATCTGCAGACCAAGCTAGCCTTGAACTTAAGAGACCTTCCTGCTTATGCCTTCTGAGTGCTGGGATCAAAAATGTGAGCCACTGCCACTAGCTGAACTTTTGACAGTTTTATTCATATTTGAACATACATTGCTAGCTGCTAATTTTGTATTTTATATTTAAGAAAAGCTATAGCGAATAAAGTGACTTCTGATTTTTAACTTCCATTAATTAGGGAAACTGCCCATAATTTGTAATATCTAGGAAAGGGCAAACATCATATATATTACGGGAAACTATGACTGAAAGGGAATTTGTCTGAAAGAGTGACTCCTCAAAGTCACCAGAGCAATTTACTATTTAAGGAGAACCTTAATTCTGAAAGGTGTATAGGACACTTTTCTGTCATAATTTTAAAATACATTTTAAATATCATTGTTTCTTTTATTTGGATCCCTTCATTGTTGTTCACTAGTCATTGATCTGGATTCGTGTAAGAATCCCATGAAGTCCCCTCTCCCAAATATAATGTAAGAAGTAATATTTGACTATGCTGCATGTGCCGGGGGTTGGTGGCACATGCCTTTGATCCCAGCACTCAGGAGGTACAGGCCAGTCAGATATCTGTGAGTTCAAGGCCAGCCTGGTCTCCAGAGCTAGTTACAGGACAGCAGGTCTGTTACACAGAGAAACCCTGTTTCGAAAACCAAAAAAAAAAAAGTTGCTATATGATTCAAGTTTAGGGCAGTACATAATTGTATATAAGTCAATGCATTTTTAAAAGAACATATTCTCTAGCCAAAAGTACAGAATATTAGATATCTTTAACGTGTGTGTGTGTGTGTGTGTATGTGTGTGTGTACACTTATGAAGATCACAGTTGCATCTGTTCTTTTTTTGTTTTTTTCTTTTTTGAGACAGGATTTCTTTGTAGCTTTGGCTGTTCTGGAACTCGATCTGTAGACCAGGCTGGCCTTGAACTCACAGATATCTGACTAGCCTGTACTTCCTGAGTGCTAGGATTAAAGGCATGTGCCACCGTCACCCAGCTTGGTATTTCTTTCTTTTTTTTTTTTTTAATAGATAACTAATTTTTTAAAGTAGTTAAAAATTTTAAACTATTCTTTACAATTAACTTACCTCCTTCCTTCCCTTTTCTGTTTGAGATGAGATGGTTTACTGAATTAGGAGCTTGCTGATTGAGCTAGGCTGGTTGAGCTGGCCAGGGAGCCCTTGGGGGGTAATTTTTTTTTTAAGATTTTATGTATTTATTTATAATGTATACAACATTCTGCTTCCATGTATATCTGCACACCAGAAGAGGGTACCAGATCTCATAACGGATGGTTGTGAGCCACCATGTGGGTGCTGGGAATTGAACTTAGGACCTCTGGAAGAGCAGTCAGTGCTCTTAACTTCTGAGCCACCTCTCCAGCCCTGTCTTTTTGTTTTTGTTTTGTCTTTCCCCTCACCAGTGCTGGAATGACAGGCATGTGCTGTGTCCAGCTGTTTCACATGGCTTCTGTGGACTGCACTCAGGTCCTCATGCTTGCAGAGATTAGATAAACTTAATTCTTAGATTGAAGAATGACTCTTTAAACATACAGACTTGTTCTAAATTTCTTATTTATTTTAGTGAAACTTAAGATGTGGTTTTCAGGTTAGGCTAAGTTAAGCATTTAGGTCCTTTCTAGAGAGGACCCATGAGAGGATGGGAAATTTCAGGACCCATTTAAGTGGTGTAAATTTGTGTGCTGTCTCTTAGGACTCCCTTGTAGGACTTTAGGTAAGTCGCATGCCATTCCCTCCCCTAATTTGTCCCTTAATTTATTTATGGTGGTGAAGTCAGTGAAAAATAACTGCACATCCAATTAACTCTGATGTTCCATGGTTTTTGAAATTACGAGAAATAATGTGGTATATGTGCAACTGGTGAGGCAGAGGGTGGGAATTGGAGGCAGCTTGTGAGCATGGGGCTGCGTCCTTCATGATGTTTAATGGGCAGAGAGCGCCTCCCCATGCACTGTTTTTGTTCACTTCAAGGGGTTATCAGCAGCAAGATGCCCACGAATTCATGCGTTACCTTTTGGATCACCTACACTTGGAACTTCAGGGTGGCTTCAATGGTGTTCCCCGATCATCGATTCTGCAGGAGAATTCTACTCTGTCTGCAAATAACAAATGCTGCATGTAAGACTTAGCTTACTTTTGCTTTCAGAACCCTCAGAAATGTCTGCCGGTGTGTGTGGGTGTGTGTGCCATGTGTTTTTACATTTTCATTTAGATAAGCATTTACATTTAGATCTTGGTGGTGTTCTCAGTATTTTTGGTGAGATTTAATTAGCATTTAAAAGATTTTTCTACCAGATATACTGAATAATGTATACATGTAATACTACTGAGAGCGGGGACCCAAATCTGTAACCCCAGAACACTGGATTGTGAGAAAGGATAATTATTATGAGTCCAGTTCCAGACTGAGCTAGTAGTGAGATCCTATTTCATGCACACATAGTACCAACATGTGTGGTAAAAGCATTTCTTCTTTACTGAAACTGAGAAATTTGTAAGTTTTCAGAACTTTTTCTTGTACCTTACTATGAACAAGACCTTTTGTCTTATTTACTTTATATTAATAACCTGAAACATACTCTGATATCAGAACAGCTGTTTTGCTGAGAAGGAAAGTATTATTTCAGTCTGGATTCTAGTCATTTACGTGTTTTACTCTGTAGTCCTGGCTAGCCTGGAACTTACAGAGTGTGCCTGCTTCCTGAGTCCTGCACTGTGCTCAGTCCTTTCAGTTGTCAGTATTCTCTCTGTAGGAGTCTTTATGTAGGAGAGGGATTTATAAGAAACCTTCCCAACAGGAAGAAAGGAGTGGGGTTGACTAGTACTTTCTGGTAGTTGACACTTTCAAATCCTGCAGTGTCACAGAAGGACGACTGGTGTGGATTGCCAGGTTCCTCCAGGCTCCTCAAGTTCCAATCAGAGTATACTGTAGAAAGGGAAGACTTAAGATCCAGTCAAGCTGTTTGTTCTCCTAGTGCCAGTTTTAAAACAGTGTTAAATAAAAACTTGTTTGTATACCATTATAGCATGTTCATATATAAAAAATACTGAACTGGGCTCTATGAAATGAGTCTGTATGAAACAAGAGAATGTGTGTCCTCAGTATCTTATGAGCCCTGGGCATTCCACTGGAATGGCATTGTATAATCTCCATAGGATATTCTTCTAGGACCAATTTTAGTATTAGTGTATTTAAAGAATAGTAATTGCAAGTTAGAAGAAAAAATACCATAAAATACTAAAGAAGTGTTCCCTTTATTTCCTTCAATTCATGGGGGATGTTTCAAGATCTAGTGATAATAGTTTTTTTTTTTTTTAAAGCCTTTCTTGAAGCTAGGAGAGGGGTGGTAATAAGCTAGAAATGCCAAGAGAGTGGGCTGGAGAGGTGGGTCAGAGATTAAGAGCACTGGCTGCTTTTCTAGAGGTCCTGAGTTCATTTCCCAGCAACCACATGGTGGCTCACAACCATCTATAATAGGATTTGATCCCATTTTGTCATGCACGCATACATGCAGAACACTCATACCTTAAAAAATACATAAATAAGCTGGTGTTGGTGGTGCACGCCTTTAATCCCAGCACTCGGGAGGCAGAGGCAGGCGGATCTCTGTGAGAGCGAGTGCCAGGATAGGCTCCAAAGCTACACAGAGAAACCCTGTCTCGAAAAACCAAATAAATAAATGAAAATTTAAGAAAAGAGAATGAGAAATGCCCAGACAGTCATTAAGTGCTAATATAACGGAACCGCAAACACTTTGGAAATTATTTATTTTAATGTCATGCCCATCATATGGCTGAAACTTTATTTCTCCCAGGAAGTGATTATATATATATATATTTAAATATATTTACTTATTATGTATACAGCGTTCTATCTGCATACATGCTTGTACGCCAGAAAGAAGGCACCAGATCTCATTATAGATGGTTGTGAGCCACTATGTGGTTGCTGGGAATTGAACTCAGGACCTCTGGAAGAATAGGAAGTGCTCTTAACCTCTGAGCCATCTCTCCAGCCCGGGGAACGAGTTTTAATGTACCGCTTTTAAATGAAGCTGTTTCCATTTCCGTTAAAGGCAACTTTGCATATGTACACTGGCATGCAAGGCTCAATGTACCCCTTCATTTCCAGTAGAATTTGTGTGTTCTTTAGTTATGGGACAGGCATAAATGGAAAACCTGAAACGGTTATTATGTCATGTAGTTCCTAATGTCCCTTCAGCCTTTTAAAATCCATTTTTTTTGCATATAGTGGAGAAGTTACTTGGGTAGGTTTTTGTCTACATCATAGCAGTAAGTTTAACTTGGTGTGGTGCAGAAAGTTCTGTTCAGTATAAGAGAAACTGGTTGCTGCAGGCAAAAAGGTATTTTCTGATTCAAGTAATTATATAATCTCACAATGCTCACAAACAAGTATTTGTTGTAATAATAATAATATTATTATTATTACTATTATTACAGACAGGGTCTCTGTGTAGTCACTGTATGTAGATCAGGTTGGTTTTGAAGTCTTTGGAGATTTGCCCACCTCTGTCTCCTGAGTTCTGGGATTAAAAGTGTGTAGCCTGACCTTTGACCATTATAGCACTGTTAATGAGAGCACTGAGCCACCTTAATACCCATTGATAGTGTCTTGGTTAAATGTGGGCTAACTGTGGAGAGCAGTTGCATGACCTAAGCTGGGCCCTGACTCTGTGTTTCAGTGTCCTGGTCTGCAAAGCAGGGCAGCAGCATATACGCAGCTCTGAGTGCTCACCACACAAACAGGGGTGCTCAGAATGGAGCCACACACAGGGCAACTTGTTACTCCAGGTGCCCTTTTCTTCCTCCTGAGCCCGTGGCAGATCTGGAACCAACACACAAACTTAAGAACATTTTAAATATCAACAAGAGGAGGTGTTGTCTGACTTTTGGCTGGTAAGATAATGGTTAAGTGCTGATGGCTGTGAGGACTTCACATCTAGCCAGTCTTGGAGTCAGGTCTTCTTCCTGTTGAGCTCCGTGGCCTCCCAGCTGGAGCACAGGTAGAGCCATCACAGAGCGTTAGTGTGCTTAGTTTCTCCTGGCTTGATAAGGTGGTGCAGTTTTTAGTTACACTTTTTTATGAAATCGTAGTGCTGTTTACAGGGGAGAACTATAGTGTTTTTTCTTACCAACAGCAGTCATTACTCAGTCCGTATGCTTTACTTCCTCAGGTTGAGGATATGCCATCAAGTAGTTTGGAGCATTCTGCATCCTCAGCAAGGCCCTACAAAGTGAAAGATGAAACACAAGGCAGTACTTCTTTTCTGATGGGTGTATTCTGATAGTGAAGCCATCATGCTGCCCCATATACAGTCATACATGAGATCTGTGTGCACAGTGCTAATGTGTTAACAATTAAAAGAACAATTTTGTGAGCTGTTTTCCATGTGGTGTTTCTTTAGAAATGGAGCATCAACTGTTGTCACAGCAATATTCGGAGGAATTCTCCAGAATGAGGTCAACTGCCTCATATGTGGGACAGAGTCCAGGAAGTTTGATCCATTCCTAGGTAAGGGATACTGGCCAGAGTATGTGCTGCCATGGTTTTTTCTTTTCTTTTTTTGGTAAGTTTGTAGTGAAGTCAAATGCCCTTAACAGCTCTGGTTCTCTCCTTTTAAGATCTCTCCTTAGATATTCCAAGTCAGTTCAGAAGCAAGCGCTCTAAGAACCAGGAAAGCGGGCCTGTTTGCTCATTACGAGGTAAGGGTGTTTTCATGTTGCTCTCCTGTTGGAGTTCATAGTCTGTGCAGCTTCTTATTGTATGTGGTTCACACTGTGTTGTAGTCACTCCCGGATCCTATAGTAAGAACATCTCCACATTGTATGTCAATGAAGTGTTAAAAATACTTAGGTTTCTTCTCTTTATTTATTTTTCGAGTCAGGATCTCTCTGTGTAGCCCAGCTGGTCCTTGAACTCACAGGGATCCATCTACCTCTGCCTCCGGAGTGCTGGGATTAAAGGTGTGTAGCACCACACCCAGCCCCCTCTTTTTATTCTTTTTAGTAGTTTTTTTTCTAGTCAAATAAAACAGGATTTAGTTTATCCCACATATATCTACAAACAAAGGAAAGAATACTAACTAGGAGTTTCACTAGTTACAATAATAGTTTCAGAAACCAAGTGATGTAATATCTAGGTATGTCCCAAGGCTGGCTTTTAATGGCAAGGCCATTAAAATTCTCTTGTACTTGGCTGGGTGGTGGTGGTGTACGCCTTTATTTCCCAGCACTTAGGAGGCAGAGGGGGGTGAGTTCCAGGACAGGCTCCAAAGCTATACAGAGAAACCCTGTCTCAAAAAACAAGACAGACAAAAAAATTGTCATGTATTGTGGGAGATTTTTGAACTCAGTGATTATTAAGTAATCAAACAAAAAGACCTGATTGAAAATTTATGGAGAAAAGGTCCAGATGGCTATCTGGAAGTGCCTTGAGTGCGACTGCATAAAAGACTGGCCTTGAACTCACAGAGATTGCACCTTAGCCTCCCAAGTACTGGGATTCAAGGTGTGTGTTTCCACACTCAATAGAAAAAGTGTATTTTGAGGGGGCAGGAAAACTCTAGAAATCAGCATTTAGTCAGAAAGGCACCAGAATCTAGGACAAGGCAAACTGCAGCACTTCAGCAATCCTTGCCAGCGGCCCCTCCCTCCACTGCAAGGGAAAGGTAGGCAGTAAAATGCCAGCAGTCCCATCTGCAGCAGACAGGTGGCCTAACCACAGGACCCCACAGTCCCACAGTCTGAGAGGCTTTGTGGGAGGAGCTGCTCCAAGAGCAACTCACTGCCGCTCTCAGCCCGGGCTGCTCACCAGCCACTGCTAGGCCACCATCCCACCTTAGAGGATAGACTGTACCTCAGAGAATAGGCAGCAGCTCTTCTGAGTCCCACTCATACTTTCTGGTGCCCAAATCCCAGTATCTGTCTCCCAGGAAAGAAAACTGAAGTAGTTCCAACCTCAGATCTAGAAACACAGCTAACACTGTCTCACAAGAACCTGGCATCAGTTGGATTTACCATGTAGGAACCAGAGAAGCTCTCACCTACAGTTTTAGGACCACAGCTACAGAAAGCTCCAGTTACCCACAGCTGTCCCTCAGATCAGAACAGTAGTCGTCCGTGTCCCAGAGTTCCAGAACTGCAGAAAAGCCACACGCTCTGTTATTACCCTTGCTTGACTTGCATATACTGTGGGTGAACACTGAACAAGAAAGTGTATGAGGCTTACAGGGCAGTATGAGGTGAACAAGTGTTCCATAAAGCCCCATAAATAGGACCTCTAACGAGTAAAGGAAAGCTGAAAGGCAGTGAGAACTTTTCAGATCTGCAGAGAGACAGTAGAAGCTCAGAACAGCCAAGTTCAATAGAAAAAAAGACATCACCAAAGGTGTGTTACAGTGAACATGTTAGAAGCACAAAGTAATTCTGAAGACAGCAAGAGAAAAGTAACTTGGGGAATACACATTAGCTTTGTTTACTATTATATTATTATTTTTTAGTTTTATTATTAGCTTTATTATTACAGTCACTCTCACAGCAGAAACCTAATAGGCCAAAATGGAGTCAGATTATGTATTCCAACAACAGCATGTAGCTGTATAATGAGAAACACATGAATGTACTGAACTCAGATTTGCGTGGCAGAAAACTACCAAATTAAAAGGAGAAAGATGAAACAAAAAAATACACAAAACAAGCAGAAAACCATCAATGACTTGAGGGAAATTTACCTTATCAGTAGTAATCTTAAATGTAATGGATTTTTAGCCTAGAGACAACATGCAAAGTAGATTTAAAAATCTAATTAACTCACAAAGATATCACATGGCTGTTTTAAGGAATCGACTCAAGCACTTGATCGTTTCCAACTCTGTCCATCTCAGTACATTTCTGTGCCGTTAGAATGTCCATTCTGAAGCCATAGAGCTTCACTCAGATTTAAACTTCCACTGTCGACTACATTACTCATTATTTTTTGAAAATGGTTCTTAGTACTTAAATACCCAGGAAGTTGAATTCATATATCTACTATGAAAGAAACAGAACCAAACCTCCTACAAACTACGTCCTGGTTAAGAGGAGGCTTTGTAACCTCTCTATGACTAATAATGTCCTTTTGCCTGCTTTGCAATGTAGAATTTTCCACGTTCTAACTTTGCTGTCTATAAGAAATAGATTTACTGGTAAAGATGCACATAGATCTAAAGTAAAGGGTTGGAAAAAGACATAAGTCCTTATATATTAAGGAATGGATCAACTCAGAAAATTTAACAATTAGATATACCTCACATGCAACCACCAAATATATAAAACAAATATTACTATTTCTAAAGGGAGAATATACTCCACTGTACTAATACCTGGGCATTTCAATAGTTTACCTTCCTCAGCGGACAGACAGAAAATCTAGTTGAGCCATACCCTAAAGCAAGTGGGCATTTATAGAATGTTTATTGCAGCTGCAGAGTACACTTCTTTTCATTACATGCCACATTCTCTAGGAAAGATCAGATGCTAGGCCAGAAATGCAAGTCTCAGTGTAGTGGCCCCTTGCTTATAATCCCAGGAAAATTCCACATTTGAGGCCAGCCTGGGCTGTGTAGGTGAGACCCTGTCTTAAACAAAGAAGTCACAACAGAGTAAAACTAAATCAAGAATGGAGAATATACAAGGGAAACAGACTGCTCTTAAATGACTTTGCAGATAGAAATAAGACATCTAGGAACAAATGAAAATGATAGCACATCAGAAGTAATAGAGAGAGGCTATGCAACAAATGATTACATAAAATTAGAATAAAGGTCATTCCGGAAATAAAATCTAAACTATAAAAGTGTTAAAAGATCAGTTGCCTTTTAAAGAAGATTAAAAACCCCAACAAACTTGTAAATAGACTAAGCAAGGAAGTGAAGACCCAAATAAAACCATAGAGGATGGATGCCATGAAAATACAAAGAAGAAATTATGAACCATTCTTCCAGATTGATTCTGAAGAACTATACAAGACGGGTAAATTCCTGAACACACACAACCTACCAGAATTTAGCCAAGAAACCAAGTATGAACAGATGAGCAATGGGCTTGAAACAGTAATTGAAGGCCCACACCTTCCTATCTCTAGACACCACCGCACTGGCTTGGTTGAGGCTATTTACAGGGGAATGGAACCAGAGGATGTCATGTTAAGTGAAAAAGCTAGATACGGATTTATGGATCACATGTTCCTGCTCACACTTGCCTCTCCTACCACGGAGCTACATCTCCAGCCCCTATTCATCCTTAAGTTTTAAATATATATATATATATATATATATATATATATATATATATATACAGTACTTTGATAACTGAATCCTAAACACTGATAGAAAAGCTTAGTGAGGTGGTGACATAGAAAATAGAGAAAGAGTCTGGAAAGATGGCCCAGTGGTTAAAAGCACTGGCTGCTTTTCCAGAGGACCTGGATTCAATCCCTTGAACCCACATGGTAGCTCACAACTGTAGGCCATCTAGTGCCCTCTTCTGGCTTCTTGGGATACTGCAAAAACATGGTACACATACATGAAGACAAACACCTATATACACACAAAATAGCAGAAAAAATTCATTTTGAACACAGTAAAACTCCCTATCATAGTAGGAACAAAAAACTCAAAAGTATTCATCAATAAACAAAAATATGTAAGACCACTGGGTGTGGCAAAGAATCCTGATAATCCTATCACTAGTAGTCAGAGCATGAGGATTTTGAGTTTGAGGGTAGCCTGGGCTAGGTACAAGGAACAAATGACCTAGAGGAGGAAATAAAAGCCTCAGCCACACTATGTGTGTGACCTAGCACAGTTTTCTTCAAAATTACTCCCTAAATTTGTTCAAAAGTTTCTCTGTAGGTAGACATTCCTTACGAGAAGCTAAAGAAATCAAGCAGAAGCACGATAGGAAAGTCCTAAAAGTACTACAACAGCAGTTGTTGATACAAAATTGTATGCGGGACCAAATCAAACAGACAGCGAGCAGTTTCCAGAAGCATCGTCGTCCTAAAGCACAGCCCTGGCTTTGGCCAGGCTAGAGCAGTTTCTTCACATGCAGGGCTGTGATTCCCACAGGACAGATGAGGTGACAATTCCATCCTCAGCCTGCAGGTAGGAAGTGGTTTTTGAGAACATCTGCCTGCTTTGTCTCGGTGGATGCTCTGCCAGAGCTCTTCTGTTAAAGCAGTGCTTGTTGCCAGAAATCCGTAACAGAAACTGGCCTAAATTTAACCCCCAATGGTCTCCAATAGGTTAGGGTTGAACATTTTTGTTACGTGGTGAATACAAAGCTAACATTAATAGTTCCACCAATGGAACAGTCATAGAATATTGTAAAAATTGCTTATGAGAGTGAGTCTCTGTCTCTTTTTCTTTCATGAAATTTATGTAAGGTTAAAAAAAATGTGTGTGTGCCTTCATTTAATCATGTTTGGGACTAGAGATTGAACCCAGGCACTTATACATAGCTAGGCAAGCATGCCATTGAGCTCTGCAGATCTTTTGGTATGTTTTATTTTGGAATATTAAATTACCCACTCACAGTGAGTGAGGCCAGTCGGGCCCTGAATGTCTGATCCTCCTGCCTTAGCCTCCTAAGCAGCTGGGTTAGAGCCTGCATCATTAGGTATGGTTCATGTGCATTAAAATTCTTAAGTATTTCCAACAGCAAGTGTGATCCAAGAGGAAATGGAAGTGCAATTTCCCTCAACTTTTAAACATTTATAATTACATAATTTTTAAAGGCAATAAAAAGTGTACCCTGTATACTTTTCAACTCCTGGTTTGCTAAATTAACTTTGCAGAGTACATAAAAAGTGACCTAATGACTAAAACAAACCAGTTTTATTTCCTCCTCTCCATGGAGATGCTGTTTCAACAGTTTCATATGGAAAACTGCCAGTTGTGAAACATAGTCCTTCCAATGTGAGAATCCAGAATTTCAAAGAGTGATATAGATTTCCCCCTAGAAACGCAATAAAGTACTGTCAGCACCTTCCTCAACCTTAACGACAGGTGAGCAGATATCCAGAAAGCTCTACCAAGATGTGGGTGCTGTCGGTCAGTGGACAGATTCTCATTGGCCGTGCAGTTTGCATCATATGTGGGCTCCTGTATAACAACAGTATGTTTCAGGCCCACTCAGTGACAACAACTCATTTCTGTGGACACTAAAGATATGTCGTCTTCGGGTTTGCAATCTCTTGAGAAACTTTAAAAATGGTCTTCTTCCCTAATACAGAAAAGCATGCTCTGAGCTGGCATGGTGCTGCAGCTGACAAAGCACGAGGCTATAAAGTATAAAGGGCTTGCTTCACAGGCAGGACGCAGAACCTGTGTGAAAATGCCAGGCATGCTCACAATCACAGCACTGGGGAGGAAGACAGACTAGGTCCCTAGAACTTGGTAAGCTCCAGGCCAAAGAATGAACCTTTCTCAAAGGAGGTGGATGGCACTCCTGCATGCATGCACAGGCTCACAGGCACCTTTTTTTTTTTTCTTCTTCTTCTTCTTCTTAAAGAAACACGCTAAGTCTAGAATTTGGGGAAACTAACCAAACAAGAACAAAATCCCAGGAGAACACAAACATCCTTTAGCCTATCACCCTGATTTACCATGGTTAAAGATTTGGGTATTACATGGCTATCCACATACAGTAGTACTGCTTGTTCCGAACTCCATCCTTCCTGCCTTTGCTCAAGTGTGGATTGTGTGGGGCTGTTCCTGGTCTCTCTATCCTGTTGACAGTCTTTGGCCACTTCTATTTTGTTAACCAGTTTTACAGGGGTTCTGGGCAGTTGGGTGAGGCCATCTCTCCTCTGGCTAATGGGCTGGATACTGAGCTATCACTGCAGTTACTCACAAAACCCCTTGCTGGAGTCTGCTGGAATTGTATTGACTCTGAGGTTTCAGGGGAAGTGACATCCTGCCAATGATGTCTTTCTGCCCATGCACTTCTTTATTAGTGTCAGAGGATATTCTACATACAAAACCATCCTATTTGCAGATTTTATTTTTTCCTCGCCACTTTAGATTGTCTTTTATTTCGCTTTCTTGTCTCATTGCTATGGCTGAAATTTTCAGGGCCATGTTGAACAGATGTGGCAAACATGGGCATCCTTGTCTTATTTCCTTATTTTTACTGGATTTCACCCTGTTTTGGTGAAATCACATTAAGTTCTCTTCTAGTCTGAGTATTGAACAGGGATTCTGAATAATGCAGACTGCTTTCCTATCCTCTTACCACGTCCTTTCTCCCATATCCCCAGAACCCTGCCACAGCCAGCTATGTGTATGATGCAGTACACACTGGTTGATAAAAACACCCAAGGTTGACTTCAAACCTCAAGAGCACCGTAATGACCAGTCTAAAGGGAGTCATAGTGCCCACCAGTCTGCATTGTAGCCAGTGATCTCTATAGCTACAGACACATGGTACTTGGGAGGCCCCTGACAGCACCCTTTATAAATTTAGGTCTAGTAGCTGAGGCATGCTTTAGGAATGGTGAGGCTGAAACAGTAGGTCTTCTCTGAGGACCACTGGGATAATGGGATCTGTCAGGATCAAGCTGAGGAAAGAAATGGGACTGAGGAAGGTCTAAAGGAGGAAATTGAGTTGAGAGGGAGCCTAGATAGTCTAGAAGGTATTGGGATCCTGGAGCAAAAGTGTAGTCCTGGATGCATTGGCCTCTCGACTCATGGTGGGCATCAAGTACAGGTCACACCTAGCTCTGCTAGACTTCACCCTGCCTCATTTTCCCAAAGTGGCTCTTTGTGGCACTAGATCAGGGAGGCCAAGGCTGACTCTGACCTGAAACTCTTGAAACAGTGACATCATTGCCTTTCCTTGCCCATTTAGGGCCTGCTTGCTGCCCATCTTACCAGGCTAATCCACTGTTTAATAATACAGTCTGTGCCGGGCGTTGGTGGCACATGCCTTTAATCCCAGCACTCGGGAGGCAGAGGCAGGTGGATCTCTGTGAGTTCGAGGCCAGCCTGGTCTACAGAGCAAGTGCCAGGACAGGCTCCAAAGCTACACAGAGAAACCCTGTCTTGAAAAACCAAAAAAAAAAAAAGAATACAGTCTGTGATATACAGACAAGGAAAGAAATTAACACCACAGCGGGGTTCACTATCAGAGAGTCTGAGGAAGTGTCTGACATGGCTCTGGCCCACAGCTGCACCCCATGGCTTAAACATTGTGTGCACAATTTCTTGCCCTGAGAGTTGGGTACACAGGCATTTGTATTTTTCCACACAGTAATGTGTGTCTTCCACAGACTTCTAGTTACTAACTAAATCAGGAGTCTGGAAAGATTTCCTGTACAGGCCCAGTGAGCACAGCGGCCTTGCATAAAAGCAGCCAGGCCACGTGTGAGCAGAGCCATGTGGCTTAGGACCACATTTTACCAACCCCAGATTAAACAATTAAAGCCTTTTAAGAGAGTATAATGTAGCCATGCCTTATCTTGGGGGTTCTAAGCAGACAGTCTGGACAGGGATTTAGATTAGTGCCTCTTCTCTTCCTGGGGTCACATGGCGACTCTGTCCCTTTCCTACATTTCCCAGAATCCTCCTTCTCTCCTAGTCCCACCTAAGTTGCTTCTTTATTGGCCAACAGTGCTTTAATAGGACAAACATATACACAGAAGGACTTCCCCCTTCAGGAAATAGCTATTGAAGTGTTGATTTTACCAGGAATTCATCTTTATTAGCATTTATAGATGAGCTCACGAAAAGTGTGAAGCTAGGTGTTTTAAACATGGTCTTTGTTCCCAGCAAACATTTCCGGTCTCTAGCTTGTTCTTGGGGATGGTTGAATTTTTTAAAGTTATAGAACTGAAAAACATGAGCTTGAAACCTGGGTCATTGGGCTGCAAGTTAGTCTTTCCCACAGTGCACTATCTCTATAAAAGCTACCTTATTTTAATGCTGTCAAAAATACTCTCATTGTAGATTGTCTCCGAAGCTTCACTGATCTAGAGGAACTTGACGAGACAGAGTTGTATATGTGCCACAAGTGCAAAAAGAAACAAAAGTCCACAAAGAAGTTTTGGATTCAAAAACTTCCCAAGGTCAGTGAGTTTCAGTTAGGGTGTATTCTTATGGAGAAGATGCATGGGGAGAGTTAGATTAGCTGTGAACGCTGAACAGTTGGTTTGCAAGTTTACAAGGTACACAGGAAGAGAGTAGTCTCAGGATCAGAAGAAAAACTGGGCATCTGATACACGGAACCAACAGAGCTGGGTAGTATTGAAAAGGCGAGTTGACCCGGGCTTTGTCCTCAGTCTTTGTCCTCATCTGTTACCAGGTGCTGTGCTTGCACTTGAAAAGGTTTCACTGGACAGCGTATTTAAGAAACAAAGTTGATACGTATGTAGAATTCCCGCTGAGAGGCCTGGACATGAAGTGCTACCTACTAGAGGTAAGGAACCGGAGAGGAAGTCTTGGTAGAGAAGCAGGCACTGGGCTGTCCTTGACAACTGCTCCTAACTCAGCTCTTGGGTCCCCTCTCCTCTGTCTGTAGCCAGAGAACATTGGCCCAGAGAGCTGCCTGTATGACCTCGCCGCAGTGGTAGTGCACCATGGCTCTGGGTAAGTTGGCAGCCACACAAAATGGCCTTCGATTTGTAGTCACACCCTAAACGTGGGTACAGCGCTCCTCTATGGAGCACTCCATCCTTTTACTCCACACCACTACAAACTGGCTCCTTCCACCAGTTCAAATTTAAGTGGTAATATTTGCAATAACTTACCCATGCCATCTACTTCAAAGATTCACTTTTGGTTTTTGTAGAATAAGTCTTGTTTTGTTTTGTCCTGGAAGCTTGGCTTGTACTTGGGGTTTGCCTTTCTGATTTCTAGTCTGATAAAGAATAGTTATTTCCTTTTAAACTTGGACAAGCTACCGTATCGCTGCTCCAATGACTTGTCATAGCAGTGACTCTGGGGAGGTTGAGCCCACTGCTTTTTATAAGCAGCCTGTTGCTTCTACGTTTGTAGGCCGAATGAGGTGGATTCTGAATTAATAGGAACAGGGACACTTCTTAAGTGTCTTTACTTATGAAGTATTTTTATATTTAACCTCACTTTTTTTCTCTTGGAATCCGTAAGATCCTTTTTGCCTCTCAACTCTGTACTGCCAGTCCAGTCACATTTTTGTACTTGGCAATTGTACTTTTTTCCCTAACATCCTATGGTTGCAGTGTTTCCCTGACACTGTTGGCACTGGAGAGTTTGCCTTCTCTGGCTTTCCGCATGGGTTCCCCAGCAATGCCTTGCATATCCCTTTTTGCACTCACCTTTAAAGCTGTATCTTTCACTAGTATATGGGAAAGCAAGACTCTGCTATAAGGCTCTTTGTAGCAGTTATGGCAGTCTTCACCTATCTTTTTGCCAGGCAGTGCTGACAGGGCAGAGCCCTTTGTGACCAAGACACAGGGGAGGCTTTCTTCAAGGCACAGATTTCCAAGCTGGGGTTTTGCCCACCTTTCTGACAAGCAATCTGGCATCAGCTTTGCATGTTTTTCAGAGGCTTCCACATATACTTACGAAGGCTGTCTGCAGCTTTCTAGTTTCTGCGCTGCCTCAGTGCCATCTGCTGTGTGTTCTAGAAACTCATTTTTGTGGTTGGCTGGTGTATTGTTCCCCAGTGTCAATATATTCCTTGTCTGTGGGTTTAGAGGGAGGTGAACACAAGAGTTTAACTAACCATCTCAAACTAGATGTTTCCAGAATTTATTCTTTATTGTACTTACTAATACTGTTAACACTGCATAGCTTCAAAGATCCTTTTGTGACTCCTGTAGTCTTTTATCAAGACAGGGTCTCACTGTGTAACACTAGAACTTGCTCTGTAGACCGGGTTGACCTCAAATTCACAGAGATCCACCTGCCTTTGTCTCCCAAGTGCTGGGATTAAAGGTATATACCACCACCCAGCCCTTTTTATTTTTACTTGTTTATTTTACTTGTGTAGTCTTTTCCTTTATCTTTTGCCTTTTCTTTACAGGGTCGGTTCTGGACATTACACGGCATATGCAACTCATGAAGGCCGCTGGTTCCATTTCAATGACAGTACTGTAACAGTGACCGATGAGGAGACCGTTGGGAAGGCAAAGGCCTACATTCTATTCTATGTGGAGCGTCAGGCCAGAGCTGGATCAGATAAACTTTAATACCTCCTATGATCACGATTCATACTATACCGGACAAACATTTCCAATTTCCATAAATACTTGATCCAAGAGTTAATTTTGTTATGCACTTTTAAATTTCCAGTTTGGGGTTTAGTTTGGTCAGTGGTAGTGACTTATTCAATATGGGCACCAACTAATTTTTGTTGTTGTTCTACCAGAAAACCTCAGCAGGCATCTTGATTGGCTGCTTTAGTTGTAATAACTCAAGTTTTATATGTAGTTTCCAGGTCTTAGTTCTGTTTGACTTTTTATATTAATGTTTTCAGTTCTCACCAAGGCACATGTGCCCTGTACTCCCATGCTGAGAGCCACCCTACCTGCTGCTGCCTTTCACAGTGGCCAGGCCAGCGGCTACCATGGGGATCGTGTGTGCGGGGCCTGTGGCCCACGGTCTCACAGTGACTGCTCAGGAACGCCTTCTGACTGTAGGCGGTAGCTGAAGGTCAGAGACCAGGCCGTCGTCACTGCCTGGGTCTCTGGGCTATTGTTTCTCAGCGTTAAATAAATCTGTCAGTTCTGTTGCATCTGTGCTGAAGTTCCAGAATTGCTCTATTTCTTCTTTCTGTTCTAATGTTAGTATTTTCTTGGAGCAGACAGGCTAGGAACACTGAGATTAAGTATTTAAAAAACTCTGTGGTTCAGCTGCCTGGTAGAGGTTATGTCCTGTCCCGTGAGGCGGATTCTGTTTGCCCATCAGAGGTGAGGTGGTAGCCTCTGACTTCAGGTGTTGCTGTAGCACCCCTTCCAGACAGAAGTGGCATCATCTTTAGTCTGGTTTTTAATTCGCTCCCTGCCTGATAGCAGAGTCAGGTGAAAGTATTTTTGTCTCTGAACAAGAATATTTTCTATTCTTGAATTCAGTTGCTTAAAAACAATACTGTTTACAAAAATAGGTAGAAGCACTATTTGGATTCAACCCAAATGGAAATTTGGCCCATTTAAAGGAGGCAGCTAATGGCAAGTGCTTGTAGGCCAGTGATTGAGGGTGGAGGTAATGCAACCTACAGGTCAAGAGTATAGAACGCCAACATGGCTCGTTCCATGTTCACTTCCGAAAGGGCCAAAATGCACTTCATGCAGACTTTCTAGCAATCTTATTTTTTTCTATTTAAAGAAAAGTTTGGTAGCTTTCCTTGGTTAGTGTGAAGTTGATGGAACAGACATGGCCCAATTCCACTTTAATATCAACTGGATAAATCCTGCATTCCCTCAGAGCAGAAATGACATAGGTCAGCCCTTCAATATAAACCTAATTGGAACTCGTCAGGACAGCGGCCACATGTGGGTAAATTGGAAACACATTCCTCAGTCACAGTAGTCATGTTCCCAGTGCTAGCTAGATATAGGATAGTGCAGTCTCCAGTGCATTTCCACAGGACATGGTTTTCTTGCACAGCACTGGTTTAAATTGTCATGCAGAAAAAGCTGTGGCATCGTGTCTAAGTGGGAAGACCTTGAGGAACTGTGCTGATTTTCGAGGTAGAGGCATATGCAGTTCTATTATTCTGGTTTGATCCACAGACAGAGGGGTACACGACTTGCTCTAACATATTAGGACCTTGATTAACACAGCTAAGCCTGAATGTCTCATCTGACCTTGCACAAGTTCCTGCAAATCCAGGCTCTTAGAACAGTGGCATTTATGTCTTGGCCTCTCAATGGGCAACTTTAATGACTTATACTCATACTCAGATGGAGCTGACGTTGTCACATCTGGTGGAACACAGTGGCAGATTAGACTGCTATGTTGGGGAGAGTGATGGGTACAACAGACAACACTGTTGGCATACAAGGGCAATGTATCAACTCTGGGAATTTTTGTAGTGGTTTTGTTGTTTGATTTTCCTTAAGCAACAATGAGTGACGCCATGAAGACTCTTTGAGAAAGTGGCTGCTTCCATTTGTGTTCTGCATCTGAACATCCATGATGTAATTGTGCCTATTTGTATTTTAAATCTGTGTAGCCTTATTGCACCTATTGCAAGCTCATCTTTCTGTGCTGTTTAAGGCTTTCATTCTAGGCTGCATGCAGCTTTCTGTTCAGACCTTGTGCTGAGGCAGGGCCTCACGCATACCCTGTCCCATCAGCCCCTGGGAACAGGAAACTCTAAGTCCTCCCACATAGGCGGGGATACAGTTTGTGGCAACACACGTCTCTCTCCATGGTGGAGAAACCTATGCTTATGCACTGTATTCTACTCAGTGTGTAGTGATGACAGATGATACAATTAAACCAGTCACATGTGCTGGCCCTGGTTGAATGTCATGTGTCTCACCTGTGGAACCTACTTAGAGTTATTCCTTAAAGCTAAATTGTCCCTTCTTTGGTATGTACATATGTTTTACCTCCTTAGTCACCTAAACTTGCTCATGTCCCTTTCTGCTGCTGAAGTCACTTCTTGCTCAAGCTCTGGAAAGGCTCAGGTAAGAAGTGTCTCCACAGCCAGAGCACTAGTCTCCTATGACCAGGGCAGCCCTGAGAAAATGCCACAGCACAGGAAGAAGAGGGCACATATGTCTGTCACTGTCACCACTGGGCAGTAGCCCCTCGGTAAATGGTGGCTGTGCTAAGATCATTTGCTATTAAAATTTAGTAGTCTATCTGATGGTGAGGGGACACCACCGTGCTCATGACTCTTGTTCTGGCTGTAATCACATCCTGGTCCCACCTCAGCAGATGGCTGTTAGGCAGAAAGTGGCATTAAAGGTCTCTCTTTCCTCCGTTACTCCTGGACTGTTTCCAGTAGAACTAAGACATGGCAGAGCAGCAGGCAGCAGGGGTGACCCTGTAGCCTACACGGGCAGGAGGTGGGGGGGCTTTCAGGGGAAGCTGCTGCTTGCTGTCTTAGGTTTCTCATGGTGCTGTATTAAGAGCAAGTTCGTTAGTTCCAGCAGTGCCTGTCCTCAGCTGTGCTGCAGCACTACACACCACTCCTAAAAAGCAGGGCAGCTGGGAGGTGCATGCAGCTAAACCCACCAAACTTAGTTTACTGCAAATCATTTATACTTCAATTAAGCGTTCAAAAATAGAAAGGGAAAAAGCTGCCCTCTGCCTAGCCTCAAATACTATCTGGGACAGATAATGACCATGCAAATTTACACACACACACACACACACACACACACACACCTACCTGCCGTGCAAGTACAAAAACGCTTAAGTTGAATCATGTTGAAACAGTTAAGGGTAAAAATAGACCACTTAGGCCAGGGAAATCCTCTGCCCAGTTAAGGGCATTGGGGATTGAAGATAGCTCAGCCTCGCTTGCAAGCCATCAATCTCCTGAGCTAAAGGAACAGAAAAGCATGACCCTTGATTTCACTCACAGCTGGCAATGTGTTACCTCCCTTAGCTTGGCGGATAGGACTGGCCTCTTCCTAAGGGTGAGCAAAGGAGCCACACAGACACACTCTGAGATCTAGCAGTTAACATCCACCACCACCCTGCCAGGGAGAAAGACTGAAAGCATGGAGGAGCTGTCGTGGCCAAACACCTCCAGTGACTATACCTTGAGAAGCCAAGAGCCCTGTGCTCAATGCTGTCAGCTCAGGGTGGTGGTGAGGGGACGGGGACCTTTTAAGGAAACTTTAACTTGAGTGGGCTGCTCTTCTGCCAGGACTTTCCGGCCTCTAAACATAAGCCGATCCACAGATGGCTGCAAGTCGGTCTGGATCCTGACACCCGCCCTCCCCACCCCCAGCCTCAGCACCACTTGTTGGCCAAAAATAAACACCATTCCTCAACCATATATGTCCACCAGTCCTGACGTGGGGAGGAGGCGGGAGGCAGGTCAGACCCTGGCCGGGCACACTCACGTGCGGCGGCCACTCGCCATGCACATAACCCAGCTCAATCGGGAGTGCCTGCTGTGCCTCTTCTCCTTCCTCGACAAGGACAGCAGGAAGAGCCTCTCCAGGACCTGCTCCCAGCTCCGAGATGTATTTGAGGACCCCACCCTCTGGCCCCTGCTGCACTTCCATTCCCTCGCAGAGCTCAAGAAGGACAACTTCCGGCTGGGCCCTGCACTGCGCAGCTTGTCTATCTGCTGGCATTCCAGCCGTGTGCAGGTGTGCAGCATCGAGGATTGGCTCAAGAGTGCCTTCCAGAGGAGCATCTGCAGCCAGCATGAGAGCCTGGTTAATGATTTCCTCCTGCAGGTGTGCAACAGGTAGGCCACCTTGCCCCTGAACAGTGTGGCCTTGCTGGCCTTGGCTCCAGGGGCACGGAAGCACACACTCCAGGAGCAATATGGCTCAGACTCAGTCTAAGGCAGACAACCAGTCTCCACTCCTGAAGCTGCTTCTGTGGCAAAGGAGTGGAGGTTCAGCTGGCCTTGTCCTTGGAGCAGCTGTCTTCACTGGCAGCCATGAAAGGTTTGTTGGGTTCAGCTGAGCATGGATTTTTCAAGGTCAGGCCCTAGGAAAAGACTCCAAAGGCATTAGTGGGCCCAGGCCTCTAATTTGGCCCAAGCAGCCCATAAGGGCTGAGAATTGCTAATGAAGGAGAAACTTAGTACTCAGATGAGCTGGGCCAAAGCCTATTGCAGAGTAGTGGTGTTTCTGAGAACACATATATTGCGTAGTACCTGGGGGTGGGGTGAGGGTGGGGGTGGGGTGTATTTCAATTGTCAGAGGGCAAAAGGGATGCTCCAAGAGACTGTGATGTAGCCAGTATGGGGCCACCAGATTTTTAGCAAATAAGATATCTACCACTTGTTAAATTTGAATTTGAGATAAAGCAACTCATTTTTAGTATAAGCAAGCCCCGCCAACATCCCCTATTTGACCTTTTAACACACCCCCCCCCCCAATCCCTTGCCTGGACCAAGTCACCACCAACAGGTTAGTTGGTCACAGCTTCCTGCCTGCGTAGGGCAGCTCTGGACCACATGGCTATGTCAGCAGTTGAAGAGAAAAAAGCTCCTTGCTAGCTAACAAGCTTGGATGGTTGCCAGCTGCTACTACACAAGGTTAATAACCACTGTTGTCTGGCCTCAACACAGGAACAGGAAATAATTACAGTGGCCTGCCTTTTCAGTTGCTCTCTTTTCCCCCGAGTTGGATTTGGGCTTGGCTCTGACTAGACCAGGCCAGGCCACTTTGATAGCTTTTGCTAGGCTCAAAAAAACCAAACTGCAAGGTGATGGGTGGAAGGGGGGAGTGTCAAATACCAAACTGGTTCATTCTTGCTGTAAGATAACCAGGTCTAATCCCCCAAAATACAGCATCTGCTGAGCACTGGTCCCCCGTATCAGAGAAAGTCACAAAGGAGTTGAGTTTCCAGCTCTGATACTGTACAACTGACCCCAGACCAGGAGTTTAACCTCACTTCATCCCTTTTTTCCCCTCACAAGTTGGGAGGATGAAGTGACACAGTAATACCTAGTACACGGGAGAAGGGTAAAATCAGCCAGGCTGTAAGAAGTCATCTATTTTGGATTCTCCTGCTGTAGTCATTCTCAGTCTAAAACTAAGGCCAGATCAGGAATATGCTAAGGGCTAAAATGCACCTTCGTAATCGTCATGAGTAACGGTATCAGGACCACAAAGTATGTACCTGCCAAGTCACCTGAGCCACTCTGAGCCAGTTCATTTACAAAACTGGGGTAGCAGGCCCCGGGTGGGTGATTAGCGCCAGATGTGCTGAAGGCCCATGGACTTGAGGGACTCATGGGCTCCGTGTTTGAAATAGTGCCACACCCAGTATATTGTAAGTTACTTTCATCTACCCAGGCACAAGGGGGATGAGCTAAGGTGCTAAGGGAGGATGGTGTGGAAAGGAACCTGGCCCTCCAATCCAGATTCACCTCCTTGACTGCAGGGCCCAGGCCCACTGGACGCCCCTCCCCCCCAAGCCAGATGCCCCTCCTGGTCTCCAGGAGAGTGGGTTACACTGCCTGCAAGAGGCTTCTGCTCACAGACCTCAATCCTCACAAACGCATAGGTACACACTGCCCTACACACCTACCACCCAGAAGTAAACTTTGGTTCAGTGATAGTGGCCACACTACAAATAAGTCTCCCGAGTGTCCCAGTGTCCCAACTTCAGGACGTGGCTCTAGCTGCCGTGGGTGGGTTCCAGGCGGCAGACCCAGGAGATGACGTGACTGTTCCAGGCAACCGAGCTGAAAGCTAGGCCCAACACTATGGCTTTTCCTCATTAGTCATTACCCCGGGAGCCTCTTCGGCCCCCAGAGTCCACCATGCAGAGCTCCCAGCCCCTGGGAGGATCAAAGGCACACAGCAGTCTCTCCCAGAGACTAAACAGCTCCAGCAGACGCAGGGGACAGGGGGCCCTGACTGCAGCCCTAGACTTTGGGACTTCCTGGCCGCCCCCTCCAGGGTAGGACTCCCGCACCTCCGCCCTGTGTCACTGCGTTCTCCCCGCAGGTG